GCAGAGGGTTGCGGTGAACCGAGATCGCGCCATTACACCAGCCTGGGCAGATAAGAGCAAAACTCCGTCTCAAAAAAAAAAAAAAAAAAAAAAAAACTACAGAACCAGTTACAACTGCTAGGGTTGGGGAGTATAAACTGAGATATAATTTTTTTTTTTGAACAGGGGTTTCGCCCTGTCACCCGACATGCTGGAGTGGAGTGGTGCAATCACAGCTCATTGCATGTTTCCAACCTCCGTGGCTCAAGTGATCCTCTTCTATGTGTTTATTTATCTTGTTTTTTTCATTCCTACCCCAGCCTCCAAATAGGCTGGGACTACGGTGTGGTACTACCATGCCCGTTAATTTTTTTAATTTTTTTGTACAGGATGGGGGTCTCACTCTGTTGCCTAATCTGGCTCAAACTGAGGTTAAGTGATCCTGCCACCTCGGCCTCCAAGTGTTGAGATTACAGGCACATGAGGCCCATTCCCCACCTGAGATAATGACTTTGGGGACACAGTTTAACACTTACTTATAAGATGAACAAATTACATAATTTTTTTTTTTTTCTTTGAGGACAGTGTGTCACCTTTGTTGCCAACTGGAGTGCAGGTGGCGCAATCAGCTCACTGGAACCTCATGCAACCTCTGCAATTTTTATGCCTCAGCCTCCCAAGTAGCTGGGACTACAGGCGCCTGCCACCATGCCCAGCTAATTTTTGTATTTTTAGTAGAAACGGGGTTTCACCATGTTGGCCATGCTGGTCTTGAACTCCTCACCTCAAGTGATCTGCCCCTCTTGGCCTCCCAAAGTGCTGGGATTACAGGTGTGAGCCACCACGCTAGGTCAAATTACATAATTTCTGATTTAGCAACACCACTTCTCACTTATATACCCAAGAGAAACTTGGGTAGCACATCATGTAAATTTATGTAATTGTCGGCTGGGGGCAGTGGCTCACACCTATAATCCCAGCACTTTGGGAGGAGACCGGCGGATCACCTGAGGTCAGGAGTTGGAGACCAGCCTGGCCAACATGGTGAAACCCCATGTCTACTAAAAATACAATAATTAGTTGGGCATGGTGGTGAGTGCCTGTAATCCCAGTTACTTATGAGGCTGAGACAGGAGAATCGCTTGAACCCAGGAGGTAGAGGTTGCAGTGAGCCAAGATCATGCCACTGCACTCCGGCTGGGCCACAATAGCGAAACTCAGTCTCAAAAATAAAATAAAATGAAATAAAAGTAATTGTCAAGGTTCTAGTTTTTCTTTTGGGTGTATGGTTAGAAATGATGCTTAATCATTATTAAAAACAAGTAAGTGGGAGCCATATATAGGCCAATGAGGAGAGGATATTATGAACAACAAAATATTCTGTGTACCCCAAATTAATTAAAAACAGCAGTGACAACGATTACCACTTTCTAGTTGGGCAAGTTGTCCCTGCTATATATAGGTTCCAGGAGGGCAGGGACCATGTCTAATTTTTCACTTTTCTTTTTTTCTTTCTTTCTCTTTCTTTCTTTTCCTTCCGTTCCTTCCTGTCTTCTTCCTGTCCTTCCTTTCTTCTTTCTTCTTCCCTTCTTCCTCTCCCTCCTTCCTTCCTTCCTTTCTCCTTCTCCTTCCTCTTCCTTCCTTCCTTCCTTCCTTC